GGGGGAGAAGCGGCCGCGTTTGTGATGCGCTTCCCGGGGTTTCCCGTGGAGGTTTCGGTAGAAGTGCACGAGTCGTGGGGCAAAGGCTGAGCGAGCGCAGCCTCCCCTGCTCTGGAAGGAGCCTCCGCAGGCCTCTCTGCTGTTACTTGGCGTGTTACTTGTTTGGTGTGTGTAAAAGCAAGAGGCTGTTTCCGTAAGACTGGCACTGAAGTCTGGAGCTGAAGGTGTGAGAGGTGGCTGAGCACACCAGGGTTACTAACACAGGCCGGGCAGTCGTGCAGATGGCCAGGTGAGACACCCAAGTAGCTGTGTTGAAAATGCTGGTCTCTGTTACTGCCCATCCGTCTGGGTTCCTCGACTCCTTGTTTCTGCTAATCTGAAACATCCTTGCGTAACAGAAGATCAGTGACTGAGCCCAAGAAGGTGTTTGTTCTGCAAACCTAAACATTATTGCCTTCCAGTAATCTGAATACAAGAAATACTTGTAAACATAGAAGAGAAAGCAAAGTGAGAAGCTGACTAAACTTGCTGGACTCATATCAGAGCACAGGAGTCCTTGAAGTCCGTATCATTCATGGGAATCAGAGCTTTGCAATTGAATCTGCCTTAAATGGTGAAAAGAAGCAATATTTACGTGATTTGTTTTACTCTAGGTAGGCATCAAACTCAGAGGTCTGAATTGCTGCTGCTTCTCTGTTTCCTGCGTTACCCTGACATCATGGAAACTTAATATTCTAACTTTGGTTCTTGCGCTACACTTGAAAGGCTATCATCTAGTGCAGGTGGTAGAAAATCCCCACTGAATCACACAGACTATTATTCTGTGTCCTAGAGCAAAGTAGGAAGGAAAGGTTGTAGAGAAGTTTTCTGTTTTCAAAAGCATTTGAGTTGTCACAAGAGTGCTGGGAGAAAATAGCTGATCTTGCATAATACATATGCAAATAGGTTTCTGTCAGGCACGCCCTGCTAGCAGGTGAAAGCAGAGGAAACTATCATCTGAGAGATTCCTGTGTTAACACACCTGTCTTTTCTTTCCCTTGCTGTGACAGCCAGGATAGATCTGGCCACATTAACTATGAACTTGCTGCAGTTCCTTTCAAATACACTCGTGTTAGCTGGGAAAATGAAGTCATAGAACTGCAGCATTAAAGGACAGAATAATCTGTTCTTAGGAAGCACCCAGTTCATGATTTACTGTCTGTGTGTTTGTGCCAGTGCTCCCAGCCTGCTGTGGTCTGTGGGTTAAAAATAGCTGTTCACTTTCTAGTGAAACTACACATGTGCTCTGTCTGGTTACACTTTATATGGGATGACCAGACGAAAGATTTCCAAGGCTAGTATTAAATGAAATAGGATATTCCTGGGTAGCTTTTATTTTGTAGACATGGAACCTCTAGAGATTTCACATCTGGGAAGGATCATATTGCAGCATCTGGTACTTGGCTGTGGATTAGAAATTGATGTTGAAAAATGGCCAGGTACAATGTGAAAATATTTTACACTGATAGCAGTTCTAGTGGCAAACTTTTTAAAGTATAATATTACAGGCTTTGTTAACTAGGCAGATGCGAGTTCTGCAAATAGCTGAACCTGTAGAAGCCATTGATCATTAGCCAGTCCTCATCTGCCCACCACTACACCTTGCATAGGGTTTCTGTCTCCTGTCTTAAGAATTTATTCGCGTACAGCATTGCAACCAAAAGCATCAAGGTTATAAAAATGAGCTGCATAAGGTGGTACAACTCATTGTGTCTGAAATGGGTTAAAAAGCACCTGTGTGAGACTTGATGGGACTAACCTCTGGCAAGAGACTGGAGACAGGCAGCCAGGGACAGCACTTTGCACCATTCTGGCTGAATCCAGTCATGGCCCCAGCATCAGGACAGCTGGGGCTTCCCTCAAACAGCTGTCATTAGTTGTAGGAGACTGTCAGTACAATGGTAACTAAATTTGTTTCCCAATCAACTCTTAACTGTGTCTTAAGCTGTGTGTATGTCATGTTCTTGTTTGGAAAGTCAGGACTGACTGCAGTGAGTTGTACTTTAAATCAGGTATTCTGTTGGATCTGGAAGCTGAATTTTGAGTTTTCCTAGATCTGTATTTCCCAGCTCTGTCTGATACCCTTCTTTGGCAGCAAGAAATGGAAAAAATTGCCTTGTAATTTGTTCATGTCTGAGCTGGTGTCTTAACTACAATAACATCAGCCACACCACCATGCTGAGGAAATTAGCCGTGAGGAAAGGAGAGGGATCTGCATATTCTTTCTCCCAGGCAGACTGCTACTAACACTAACAGTCGAATGAACAATTGGCTCAGACACATTTTGGGCCCATTATATACACAAAAAAAGTGTTCTGCAATCTCTCTGTCCCAGTGCCAGCACCTCAGTTCTCCACTACCTATTATTTTCCTGCCTTCAGCATTAAATCTGTATAATTAATCTGGCTGTGACACATTACTAGTTCCTGTCTTAATGGATATGGCAGAAAGCAAACAAATAACTCTGAGGACTGCAAAATTAATAAAGATTGATTTTCTGTAGATATGTGTCTCCCTGCTGATTGTCTTTAATTAAATAGTATAAGACTACAATGTGAGCATGGCTTTTATTAGATATCAGAGAACAGAGAGACATTATAAATATTCCAACTGGGGGAAGGATGTGATGTCTAACTGGCTTTCCAGATTCACTGGACATGACAGAGGAGGAGGGTATTCTGGTGTCTAGTAAGATGTTCCAATGTGAAACACTCGTAATGCCTTCCCCTCCGTTTAATGAACACATACAATTTACATGTTCCTTTTCCAGGTTAGGTAAGGAGGCTGGAAAGGGACAACTGTACACTGCCAGCTGAACAGCAGTGAAGTTCAACAAGGTCAAGGGCAAGGTTCTGCACTTGGGTCAGGGCAATTCCAAGGACGAATACAGGTGGGGTGGAGAATGGATTGAAAACAGTCTGGAGGAGAAGGACTTAGGAGTGATGGTGGACAAGAAGCTCAACATGAGACAGCAATGTGTGCTTGCAGCCCAGAAAGCCAACAGTGTCCTGGGCTGCATCAAAAGATGCATGGCCAGCAGGACAAGGGAGGTGATTCTGCTCCTTCATTTGGCTCTTGTGAGACCCCACCTGGAGTGCTGTGTCCCATTCTGGAGCCCCCAACACAAGAAGAACATGGACCTCCTGGATAAAGTCCAGAGGAGGGTCACAAAGATGATCAGAAGGACTGAGCATGTCTCCTATGAAGACAGGCTGTGAGGGTTGGGGTTGTTCAGCCTGGAGAAGAGAAGGCTCCAGAGAGACCTCATAGTGGCCTTCCAGTACCTGAACAGGGCCTACAGGAAAGCTTGGGAGGGGCTTTTCACCAGAGAGGGTAGTGATAGAACAAGGGCTAATGGATTAAAACCAGAAGAGGAAAGATTCAGGTTAGATATTAGGAAGAAAATCTTCAGTGTGAGGGTGGTGAGACACTGGAACAGGTTGCCCAGGGAAGTTGTGGATGCCCACTCCCTAAAAGTGGTCAAGGCCAGGATGGATGTGGCTCTGAGCAATTTGATCTAGTGGGAGGTGTCCCTGCTCCTGCAGGGTGGTTGGAACTAGATAATCTTTAAGGTCCTTTCATGTTCATGACTGTAACCTGAAATGAGCTGTTCATAATATGTTTGATTGAATAGTAGCCTTTATCATATTGTTAATTATCATTAATCTTACCATGGCTGGCTCCCCAAGGTTCTGCTCAAAGGTACTGAGCAAGGTTCCATTCATGGTGCTGAATAAGCACCATTTGCCAGTCTTCCTGCAGTTGCCTTGCAAAGAGTCAGCTGTGTAGAATTGTCTGGTGGAGAGTTGGTTGTGGCAAACAGGGGTAACAGACAGCTGTTCTAGACCTGAGGGTGGCTCGTTCACCTACCTAAGGCCAGTTGATTTTGTCAGTGGGTGAGATGATGCATCATGACTACCAAGTCCCTTTTACTCCTTACCTACTATCCTTCCTGCCTCCCTTGCTTCCAGCAAGAATCCATTTCCCTAGATCATGACAACCTGCAAATGTAATTTATTTACAGTAATTTTTATTAATTTTTTTTACAATACTTCATATATGACTCACAAAGATAAGTACAATATCTACAGATGTGAATAAAGCTCTTCTGGAGAAGAGTTGAACCACCTTTTCCCATTGGGTTTTCAAGAGCCCAAGGTCAGATAAAAGCATGTTATTAACACCATACCACTTCCCACATGCTCCCATGGGGAATCTGACAATCTCAGTATTATTGAAATTTGTCATGTCTTGGAACTTGCTCCTTTGTGTGGTCACCAACCTGTCTCAGCCAGACCATAACATCATACACATTGCAAGGGCAAACACAAGCCAGACAGCCCACCCTCAAGTAGATGCCTCCCTTCTCCCAGTTATACCTGTGGGAACAGGCCCTGAACAATGATCTGTAGAATCTGTTGCCAAAATCTGGTTTCACCTAAAAAAACAACTAATGAGTGATCAGTGAGGCCAGTCAATAGGGAGGAAGCAACTACAACTCCAAATACACTGGGGCAGAGGCTATCCTGGATTATCCTGAAGGACACCCAGCAGGACTATGAGGAGGTGTAGCCTCTACTGCAGAGCTCAGCTAGTAACAATGGTCCCATCTTAGGGTCATAGTTACTCCTGCAACAAATGTAGAGATTAATCTTTCACCTTTGCTTCTGGCTGCCTTTTTCTGTGTGCTGGGAGATACACATGTAGCCATGTTGTGACCTGAATTGGAGAAATGATCTGGCTTTGGGATAAAAAGGAAATAAAGAACCCTGCTGCAAAATAGTATGTTTTTACTGAAGCTCTTGTCCCAGAAAACAAATTTAACCAACATCTTTAAGGGGTATGGAGTCCCTCTTACCTACTTTTATGACATAGTTTGGCATAGTTTTCCCCAAAATTGGACACTTTTAAGACTCAGTTTGACAAAATGCCAGGCCATCTCATTTTAACTGTGTTCCTGTCTAGAAAGGTTGAACAAGATAATTGTTGAGTTCCCTTCCAACCAGGCATTCTGTGATTCTACACTTTTTTTGTTGCCAGTTCTAGCTTCATTATCCCCAGTCCACATTACACAAGAGTGTTCACAGCCACCCGTGCTACCCTGCATTGCTCCACCACAAATGTTTGTGTGGTCGTCTCTCAGTGAACAATTTCTTACTTTTTTTGGCTAGGCTTTTCTCAGCTGTGTCTGTTCCCTTAAGCAATTTACCAAGCAGTCACACCTGCACAAAGAGAGGGTCAGGAACCTACTGGGGAGGGGCACAAATTGCTTAATTCAATTTAAGTACCACATGCTTAATGGGTATCACAGCTTTACTTTAGCTTCTGCTTCTGTTGGCAAAGTAACTGCTTCAAGATAAAGCACGTACATGATTTAAAGACGTGACACTTTTTCCTGCTCCAGCTTTCCAACTCCAGAACCTCTGGAAACCTTTCCCCTTTTTCTTCATTTTCCCTTCTTTCTGAATTGTTCTCCATAGAAGCCTCACGCCTCAGACTCTCCTGGTACAAAGCCAGTTATTTGTCTCACATGATCCATCCAGTATTAATGGCTCTTGATGGCTCCTTTATTGCTTATCCACAAGATGCTCAGTGCCTCATAGAAATAACATGGGAAATGAAATTTGACATGCAGCCTTGTTCCCCAAATCAAGAAGCATTCACAGCTTGACAAGAGCATGCTGTCACTGAAATAATGTTTGACATAGTTCCCAGAACTGAGGCAGGAAAACATAACAGTTTTCATCAGTTTTGAAAGCATAATTAAATTTTTCCACTTTTATACAGGGTTACTAAATTGCATAATGAATGGCTCTTCCAGATGCCAGCTTCTACTCCGTATCCATGAACAGGGAAGTGAGGAAACAAAGATCAGGGATATCTTTCCAATGGCCTGATCACTAATACGTAATAAAATCAATATCTGCCCAAGCTTTTGATGACTTCTATTGACTGCATGGTTTTGCACTCCTGAAGCAAGATTTGCAGAGGAGTGAGAACATATTCCTTATATTTTTGGCTTAACCTTTGTCAACATTGTTTTCCTTAGGCTACTTCAGAAGAGCATGAGTAGCTCTTCTGGCATCCTAGCTGTTTGCTTTTGAACCACGAATGGAATCCTGGACAAAAGCAGTTGTGCAGTCTCTCCTCTTTTGAGCTATGAATGAGACACATTAGTATTTTAATGCTGGTGGAGGCACAGCTAGTGATCTTCTTAGTTAAGTTAATTTTCATAGTAGGCTCAGTTGCTAGGTTTTGTTCCACATGTTAGCCTAAAGACTTTTTAATCCCCTACAGCTATTACATCTGTAGATTAGGTGTTCATCTCTAGGTAAAGGTAGTAAAAATCTGCTTTAGAGTTCAGTCTGTGAACTGGAGAAAATCTTCAATCCACTAAGGTGACAGATATTTCCATCCTCTATAAAAACTCAACCCCCTGCAGACCCTCTGTGTGAATGAATGCTATCAAAAGTCCCCCCTGCTCGAAACAGGGTCAACTACAGCAGCCTGCTCATGACTGTGTCCAGTCAGGTTTTGAATGTCTTGGTACGGAAGGCATGCAGGGACAAATCATAAATATCATAAGCAATACTTCTAATAACAATTGAGTGATTGTTACTTACACTGGCTAGCACTGAACAATGGTGTAACTAAGACTGAGCTAGTAGTAAATTCTATCTCACTTGTCATCTTGAAATTAATACCAAAGCTCTCTTAAAAGTACATGCTTTTGGAACTTGATACGGTACTTGGCAAGTGGAATTCAACTGTCCATGTTGTGTAAAGGCCAGAGAAGAGGAGCTTGGCTGTCCCTTTTCTAGCTTAGCC